AATAAAAATATAAAATATAATAAAAATAATAATAAAATTTAAAATATTAAAAATAAGTATAACACTAAATATTCTTAAACTTCATTTAATTCATAAAATTAAGATTATCATCAGTATTTGGAAGATCTTCAGAATTACGTAGATCATCCGTATTTTCAGAATTCGTAGAATTCTCAGTATTTTCAGAATTCTGGATTAAGAGATTGTCATACTACTTCATTCACGTAACTTCATTATGACTAGTCAATTGCTCTGTTGACACTATAAAGTTAAGCAGATTAATGCAAAATCATCAGGATTATATAAATGCTCTAAAGCTAGAACTCATAATGAAAGTGTAATGCTTATCTAAAATGCTTATCAGAACTATAAAAAAAGATTTGATAAAATTTTTAAAGATAATATAACTATTTTGTTTATTAAAAATTATCATATTTATACTATTTTTAAATGTAAAATAACTTATTATTACAAATTTTTAATCAATATTATATATTAAGTAATCTTTCTAAAAAAAGAAAATATCAATCTGATATTTGATTTAATAGTGAAGATTGAAATCTCTGTAAACATAATCAATAAATTAGAGATATATTTGATAATAATTTATTTATAAGGTAATTATATAAAATTATCTAAATAAAGTAAATAAAATATAAATATATTATTTACTTTATCATAAAATGTAACTTTAATTTAAATAATTTTCTTTATAGTATTATTAGATAATTGTATATTGATATATTAATAAATATAGTATAAAAAATGTTATATTTTATTTTGTTTTACTTTTTTTAGTTTTTTAGTTAGAAGACTTTTGTAATATAAATGAAGTAAATATAGTAAAAACTTTAATTTTGATAAATATTGTTAACTTATTATTATTATATTTTTTATTTTTTTTTTGTTAATCATATTTTGATTTGAGTAATTAGTGAAAAAAAATTTTTTATATTTATATCAAAATATTATAACTTTTTTTTAATATATTTGAAATAGATAGAATTATATTTAGAATAATATAATTATCTATATAGATAGATGAATATTGATTATTAATTATTCTAAGTTCTATTTACACAATAAAAAAATAAAGTATAACCTAATTATATATATATATAGAAGTTACTATCTAGTATATTATTTACTAATACCTGAGTTATAAGCTCAAACTAACTTAATTAGATTTTATTTGAATTTAACTATTAAATTTAAATAAAAAGTCACTTTTAATCATATATTCATATTTTTACAAGATTATTATAACTTTTATCTATTATTTAAAAAACTAATGATAAAATTACCTTATAAAGTTTATATCTTAAGAGTTACTATTAACCTATATAAAACTTTGAAAAGTAGATAATTATTATACTTATATTATTAAATTCACTTAGAAATTAGATTTGATTTCTATTTAAGTAATAATATAATTATATTGAAATTGATATTATGACAATTATTTAAAAAAACTTTTATATTACTAGTTATTTTATCTTTTAATAACTGATTATTTATTTTTTATAATATATAAAAATTCTTGTTATTTAAAAATATAAAATAGTATCTATTATAAATTTATCAACAATGATCAAGTTTCTGTTTATTCTTTATTTGTAACTATATATAGAGATCAGAACTGATTAATTTTAATCAATTAATTAATTAGTTAAAACGATTAACATATTAATCAACTAATAATTTTTTTTAATCAGTTAAAATAAATAAATTTAACTCTAATAAAATTTAATTTTTAGTTAGAATTAAGATTTTTATGATTACATTAATTAACAAATTAATCAATCAGTTTTTAATATATTTAATAATACTATATATCTATATATTCAATCGTAAATAAAAATTTTAAAATCATATTGTTTTATATTTTACGTAAGGTTTAAATCTATGGCTATTGTAATGTAAACAATAATAGAAGTTCAATTATTACTAATTAAATTAGAATGCTAATCTATATTAAAATATTATAACATTTTTTTATATACGATAACTTTATACAAATTTTATTAAAAATAAAGTAAAATTTTACAAAATTATAATATACAAATCGAAGAGTATAAAAATTTCTATCTAGTTAAAAAACAAAACTAAATCAAAATCATTATATTATGTCAAAATAATAATTTTTTTTAACGTGTAATAGCTTTGTACAGTTTTTATTATAGTAAAATTATACAAAATTATAAATTACAAATAAGAGAGTACAAAAATTTTTATTTAGTTAATAAAAACAAAACTAAATTAAAATCAACTTTACACTGTTTCAGACTAACTTATTCTAAACTAATGTTAAAATATTAATGTTTTATCATTTAAGAAATAAGAATATAATTTAATAAATAAATTTAATGATTATAAAAAAATATATATATTTATTAATTTTTTTACAATACAAGAATAATTTAATGTATTCAAATACTATATATATAAAATCATTGCAATAAAAAAAGAACTACTAAAAAAAAAAATTATTTTATACGGTTTTAAAGTAAAATATTTAATTTAATAATAATTCAATTTTTTTGTAATTTCTTTTCTTTCTAATGCAAAGTATCCATATTTTTTTCTTTTATTCTAATTACCACATAAATCTTTGCCACTTATTAATCTCACTAAACCAAAGAAAAGGCTCATATAAAAATATATATACAGTTTGAGCATTAACAATAGCATAAAACAAAAATTCTAATATTAATCTTGTATAATTTTTAGGTTGTCCGATATTTATTCTAAATATATAATAAGGTATGATAAAATATCTAAATTCAAGCAAAGGTGATGGAATTAACGAAAGGCATACTGCTGCGATGTATATTAAAATCCAAAGAAATGATTGTTGTAAAGCTTTATTTTTTATTTTTTAAAAAATATGATAAGGTTAATGAGTGATTATTAAAGCTATTGGTTCTTCAAATTAAATATATGTGTATATTTACCTATTGATTCTAATAGAATCCACCCCGCTGTTATATAAGCAGGAACCAAAAAATATTTTACCAGATAATGACGTCTATAAATATTCTTCCATATATAAAAGGTATAATGACGATTGTCACTTAATAAAAATTTATGTTCATACCTATACGTTTTTGTATAAAAAATGTTAAAATACTTGAAGCATTATCAATGTGTGTGTATATATTAGTAAACTTACGTGAGTTGATTTATGATGAATATCATTATCATTGCTAATATGACAAAAAAAAAATTTTTCCTACCAATAATAGATAATAAATAAATCGTTAATTAAAAAATAACTTGATAATCAAAATTTTTCTCGGTGGAAAAAAATAATACCTGTTAAATTTTAGTGTGAATAAACCGGTTATTAATCTATCAACATAATCAAACTTTAATATAATAGGTGCAGAAAATATCGTAGTAAATGAAATGAAATAAAATATTTGGGGAATATGTAAAACCGCCGTGTGATTTGATTTATCTCCTATTTAGGAAAATAAAAGTAAAATTAATAACAAGATCTTAAAGATCAATAAAAAAATACTGGTATAAAATTTACCTAATACAATTCCACCATTCCATATAAGGAAAGAAAAAAAACTTAAAAAAATTAAAAAATATGGAAAGAATATTGTAAAAAGTCTTGGAAAATATTTTAAAGCTAATAATAAGAAATCCTTTATTTCTTTAATTACAATATCTATTTATTTATTTATTTATTTTTTTTAAAAAAAAGTAATATTTATTATTTAAAGATAAAAAACTTTTAAATTTTTAATAATAATATGTTTCTTACCTGATCTAATATTAATTCCTCTATAATAAGACATTCCTTTGATCTTTGGATCGTAATTACTATCGGATAACACTGCTAATAAAGAAGTGCCTAAAATAAAACAATTCCAAATAATATTTGATTGTCTAAATAACACGCTTATGCCTCCAACCTAAATAATTTAAAAAGTGATTAAAAATCCGAAGGATAAAATAATTCTTGTAGAATATAAATAATACATACTAATGCACTCATCCAATATTTTTTTTCGATAGATAACAAATAACTCCATAACACAAAAAAAGTTGATCCAGAATCAGTATAATATAAAAAATTGAAAAACCATCCGACAGGAAATAAACTTAGTGTTAACGCGTTAAATGATATTAAATTTCTATCTTGAAATGGATGGAAATTTATCATCAATTTTCGTAATATCTTGTATAATCCAATACCAAACAATATATTTGTAGCTCGAAGAAAGTTTGTTGAACATAAGTTTATGTAATTGAAAAATATGAATGATAATGGTTTTATAATTAAATTACTTGTTATATATCTAAAAAAAAAAAAAAAATTATCTTTAATAAAAGTTGAGATATTAAAGAATTAAAACTAGAAACTTACAATCCTGGCGGTGTTGTCAATTTTGGGTTCCATTCATAGTATTCTCCTTTACAGTATTGTTGTGCTTGTGGAATATGAAATATTTCATCCTACTTAATTTTGAACAAGATAATTATTCAATCAACTTGTTTAGTAATTTAATGAAAAATTTTGAAGAAATTACCATATAAGGTCCCCGAACCAAATTATTTATTAAACTTGCAATGCTTACAAGTGAAATTGTATATATAACTAAAAATATATATTGTGTCTTCATATTTAAAAAGTGTCATTTGGAGGTAAAAGTAAATTAAATGGTTTGATTTGAAAAGGACGATTTGGGATCCGATTTGGAAACAATCGCGCTAAAAAGAATTTATCGCGTGACACAGATTTTTATAATACGATATTCGATAAAAATTACCTGCAGATCTTTTTTGATATGGTTAGTAATTCAACAGTTGAAAAAAAGAGTTGGATGAATGAAAATTTAATGAAAATTTGGTTTCAAGAAATATGGGAAAAACATTTAAACTAGGATATCTTTAATAATGGATAGTTTTAAAGGACAAAACAAATTTCATAAAAAGAAAAATGCCATCAAATAAATGTTGATTTGGCTATTATACAGTCTTATATCACTTGTTCAACCTATATTTGTTTTAATAAACCTTTTAAAGATAGAATGCGTAAAATATTGGATGCTAATAGAGAATATACTTATAGTGTAAAATTATTATGCTAATATGTTATTCATCGGCAAATTTTTTAATATGGTATCACATGTAAATCACGGGTTTGTAAATTAAGTGTTGCTAATTTATATCACATGACTACTACGTCTCATATCTCGATCTCATATCATCATCCCAGAGACCCGGAAAAATTCCATTTTTATAATAAATGAATAAATCGGAATTTTTGCTGTATAATGGAGTAAAATGGA